CCTCTTCATTATTATTTACGCAGCTAGGGTGTCTGAGGTCTCATCCAATTCTTATTTGTCCCCCACATTATAGACAGCCAGCAGCCTGCCATTTTCTTAAGTTCTTCACGGAACATATACAGAAGCTAAGCCTTGGGTTCTTTCATTCTAGATGAACGGCTACCAGAAAAAGATTAAAACTGCTACTGAAAAACTGATGGCTCTTGTTGCTGAGCTGTCCATGAAGCAAGCTCTGACCATTGAACTCCAGAAGGAAGTCAAGGAGAAAGAAGACTTCATCTTCTCTTGCAATTCCAGGATAGAAAAGGGTCTGCCCCTCAATAAAGATATTGAGAGAGAATGGTTGAAAGTACTTCGAAATGAAGAAATGTATGCCATGGCCATCGCCGAAAAGTCTCAGGTACATTTAGGCTTTTATATTGCATTTGTAAAGTGGCAGGGAAGGGATCTTTTCAAGGGTTTCAATCTTCCCAAAATATATAAAAAATTCCCCACTCTACCATACATAGTCCAAACAATCAGAAGAAATTTTGGTTGTATTATTATTGTTGTTGTTGTTATTATTATGTAGAGCCCTGGTTGGTTTTGCTCAAGGGTTAGAGCTTCAGCCCGCAGATTGAAGGGTCACAGGTTTGAGTCTGGTCAAGGGCATGTACCTCAGCTGCAGGCTTGATCTTTTGTCTCAATTGGGGCGCATGGAGGAAGCAACCAATCAATGTGTCTCTCTCACATTGATGTCTCTCTGTCTTAAGCCCCCACCCCACCCCCACTTCCACTTTGAAAAAAAAAAAATCAATGGAAAAATATCCTCGAATGAAGATTAACAACAACAAAGAGATATTATGTACACAAATCAAAGTACAACAGTTCAAAGCACCATAATATTCCCTGGGGAACATCTGGCAAACACCAAGTTCCACTCCACAATCGTACTTGATGCCTAGTGTGGCTGAACTACCACAGACTCCCACTGACATGGCAATGACCAGGCGAGGCTGGCTTCGGTTTTACTATTATCCATACATCTCCAATCGCTGTCCTTGCACCCCTGCTCAAACCACACCTTACTCTTCCATGTCCACCTGCTACTGCCATCACAGCCTATTGTGAGGCCTCCAGCACACCAAGGTTGTCACAGCCTTTGCACTTGGTGTGCACCCTTGGCCTCAGTCTAGGTCCATCATTGGTTCCACCTGCACATTGGGCACCCAGTTCTTCTGCCTAAACCCATTACCTTTCAATGTGTGTAGAATGGAATTGGGCATTTCTTTCTAAGGAGACTGTGTCTTGAGGACCTACAACTTACTATCAGACTGTCAAGTAGATTCTTCAAAAAGACCATTGTTCACTAACTAGCCCCCAAAAAAGGCACATTCCAAACGTAAGTTAGGAATATCTGAAACCAGGGTTTGGTTTGTCATTCCCACACTGCCCGGAACTGTATTTATTAGCACCTTTGGGTTTTACCGAGGATATCCCAGCATCATTTATCTGTCTCCGTTATTTAGAATTCTTTTTCATGCTGTAAGAGAGTCGTCTGTTTTCCAGAAGCACAGGCAGAAACTTAAGGACCTTGAGGGTCAAGGCAAACTACTGACCACATCTTCCCTCTGGTTCTACCTGATTCCTTATCTCTTCTTCACCAATGACTTACCAAAGGGAATAGATTGTCCTACCTCTGTCAACAACAAAACCATGGAAATGCTTAGTATTTGATGAAAGATACTGAGGTTAGAACACACAGAAAGTTAAAACCCACCAACCAGTTTATGATAAACCATAAGCCCCATGAACAGCATGATGCTTGAGCAACATGGATCATTCCAGCAAGGTGCAACATGTGCATGAGTATGTAAGTGTGTGTGTGTGTGTGTGTGTGTGTGTGTGTGTGTGTGTGGTGACTTCACCCTCATACCCTCCTATCCTTTGGGGGAATATCAACCAGCACAACCTACAACTCAGACCCAGCTGTGTCTGACAAGCCTTGGGGTAAAGTGGCTGCACCAGAGTTTGCAGAAAACTGAAAAGGAAATTTCGTTCTTTGCAGCAATTCTTGGACACACACCGCCAGCTGCCCAATGGTGTTCTCACAACTGCAGAGCTGCGTCCGACTGCCTACATCCCAGACGCAGAAGCCACTCTTCCCTTGCCGAAACCATATGGTGCTTTGGCTCCCTTTAAGCCCAGTGAACCAGGGGCCAACATGAGGCACATCAAGAAGCCTGTTATAAAGCCAATTAAAATCTGAATATGTAAACCAGTTCTGGCTCCTCAAGGAGACACTTCAGCCAAGCTTTATCATATCCACAGCTGGAAAATGTCTGCACAATAGCGTGAAATTACAGGCAAATAAAACAGCCACAATTAACCAACAGCAGAAATAAGTTTCCTTTTATACTCACCAACTACTATATTTTATATGATGTTGAGTAGGACATAGAATTGTTCTACAATTATGTCAAAGCATATATTTGCATTGTTCATTTCTTTATTTTTCACTCTATATATTGAAACCTTTCAGATATATATAGTAGGCCAGGTGCTATAAAAATTCAATAAAAATAATTTTAATGATGCACAGAAATTAGCTGAGTGGTCCTTATTTATTAAAGACAAAAAGGAAATACTGTTCAATATACTGACTTTAAAGAAAAAGATAGAATGATCAAGTATCACAGAGACTTATCTGACTTTGCTAAGTAAATGGTTGCATTTAAAGCTAATGTTGTTAACTCTAAATCAAGTAAAAAGCAGGAGGGAAGCTTGTTATTTTCAAAATAATGTTATGGTGATTCTTTTTATAAGTGAATAATCCTTTCACTGCAAAAGTAATTATGCCCTAATTTATCTTTCTTATACATCTAGATTTATCAAAATGTTGAATGCAAATAAACTCATGATTATTTTAAGTTTTGATACCAGATTTTTCAAAATTTCAATGGAAATATTTATAACTTGGCATGTGAAAGAGTTGAAAATGAGGCCAATTCCTCTCCTTTTATTATCTAATTTTATTGCATTCCAGCTAAGTATATTCCTAATTGTCTTTATATCTTCATGTATATAAATATACACAAGACTTCAAACCTGTGATTTTATATTCATTTACATGCTCAGTCTATATTTCATACTGATATCAGTTATGAATTTTAGTTCACAACTCTGGGCATGAGAAACACCACATTCCTTTATTTTGCTAAATCAAACAAAATTTGTTCCAAGCCTCGATCCTGCCAGATTGGTGGGAAAATTAATGTCATTCTCAGTCTCTGGGTCCTGAATTAACCCAATTGCTTTGTGAAGTTATTGAAAGGCAATTCCTTGGGAGTACTCATAAGTAACCATATAAATCATGTGTTTAATACAAAGAAATGCATAAACACAGGTCCTGTGTTGTAGGAATTAGCAATTGCATTGGAGATTCAAAAAAAAATACCCATTGGAAACTTAACAACATAGGAGTGGGGGAGAATTAAATCGCAAAGGAACGGGTACTTGAATATTACAGTGTGTCACATTGAGAGGGGAATGGTGGCACTGTGAGCTGGAATGACCAAAGGCCACAGTCAGAGGGAACTCCTTACAGAGAAGATTTTAGTAGGTGAAGAGGGGATCCCGGGTGAGGGAAATAGCCTAAGCAAGGCTTTGAAGTAAAAAGACAAAAGTTGTGCACCAGGCCTAGGCGACGGGACTGGCTGGAACAGAATGTGCATATTGGGGAACTCATAAGTGGATTAGGGGACTTTGCATTTTATCCTGTGACTTTAAATGTAAGTTTGAATTGTATCCTATAATGAATAGCAAGTTACTGAAGGAATATGACAGGATCGAGCTAATATCTATAAATATAAGTCAGTTGAATTAGAACTTAGAAAGCAACTGACACAAACCCAGTGTGAAAAGAAAAGGGTAAGGAATGAAAAATAAGAACCTTACAAAGAGAAAAAAAAGATGGCTCCAAGATTTTGAGCCTCAGTGTCCAAAAAGAGGAATTCTGTAGAAAGGACAATTTTTAAAATACAATGATCATTTTAGAAAAGTACCTGGGTTATTATACCAGCTAGTGATATTTATGATGATTAAAATTTCACAAGTTCACTGAGGGAAGTAATGTGAAAAGAAATAAGCAAAGGGTCATGGGCTGACCCCAGGCAGCAACTGTATATATGGGTCAGAATTAAGTCACTGCAGACGGGGTCAGGGAGGGGGGAAGGGTGATGGGATCAGGGGAAAGTGGGAGAACTAGTTAGATGTTATGGGGGACTTTTGGGAAACATGTTCCTAAACTCATGATTCCTTGCTGGACTATAAAGTCTTTGTAGAAGTGACAAAAGAGACCAAAACTTTCAATTTTTTTGTTTCATTTTTTAATGGTGATTTCTAAATCAAACTTTTATAAATATTAAAAGAAGTTTAAACATATTAAACACAGTTCCATCTGAACCATCACAAAAAGATAAATCTTACTCTGAATAGACTGTATGTACAAATTGCTGTATGTTACACATTTTTCTATCCTGGAAATAGCAGATTTGACTTAGTCCAAATTCAGTTTTTTTTTTAAATCTATCCTTTTTACAAATACAGTTTCTATGCAACATTTAATTTCTCCACTTGCCTTACATTATTTTCAATGACACTCGTAGATTTTGTTTTTCTAAACACCAGTCCCTACATGTTTAAAGCATCTTTCATTTCAGAGTGCGGCCGAAACCAGCTTCTGGCCTATGGAGCCACTAGGAAGAGCACCCTCTATGGCACTGCCTGCCTCCGGGGCTGGCTGCCATTTCCCCACCCTGGGCTGCACCCGCTGTCCAAAACTGGGGTGAGGGACAGCAGGTGACTTCATTCTGAACAACTACCAAACTGAAATTCAGATGGCTCAACAATGCATTCTGATTTTGGTAACCAATTTCAAATATTGCTAGAGAGTTCTCTGTAGAAGTAGAGCTCATGAGCGAGAGTAAAACTTGAGAGCTGACACCATTACATTTTCTTTCTTATAAGCCTAAAAGCATTGTGGTGTGTTTCAGAGCTGCTTCCTCCACAAATTTTGCATCCACGTTGTCATGTCCTATAAAAGCATTGAGACCTGGAAAGAGAGAGAAAGAGGAAAGAGTTACTATGAAACCGTGGGGCATTTATAATGCTGTGCCCACGGCTCTTTGAAATCATAATTACTTTATATTTCGGTAAAACACGTTGCTCTGAGAATGGGTTGTTAAAACTTATTAAACCTCAGAACCAGGAAAGGCCATGTGCATCAACCAAATGTGGTTTTTTTGTTTGTTTGTTTGTTTGTTTGTTTGTTTTTTAATATCTTAAACCCTTTTAAAACTTCAGAGGTGATCATTTCTTCGGTAATTTACTCCAGGTGAGTTGCGTATTGCTCGTTAAAACCAACTGCAATAAGGACCTACTTATAAGTAAGGGGTATTTTGGAAAGAAAAAGCTACAGGGGAGTAAACAGGGATTGACTGATGAGTCAAAGGATTTACCTTGATTGGAGGACTCTATCTCTGTCAGTGTTTCAATGAGGTAGTTCAGAGGCAGAAATTCCACACTGAATGACTTGTCAATCATAGAACGCTGAGGCTAAAAAGCAAACCACTTCTGGTGTTAGTTGATTATCCAAAACCAGCACAGACTTTAAAAAAAAAAAAAAAAAAAAGTGAGCCTCTGGGTTGCAGGCGTGTGCTCTTGACCGGAATCAAATCCCCAGTGGGGAGACATGCAAGAGGCAGCCAATCAACGATTCCCTGTCATCATTGATGTTTCTATCTCTCTCTCCCTCTCCCTTCCTCTTTGAAATCAATAAAAATATTTTATTTAAAAGTGGTAATAACTACAATTGCAGTCCGTGTAGATAAGCAGAAATGGGCAAACAGGACCCAAAAAACATTGAGTGGGGCATGCTCTCACACTGGCTCACCTGCTTCTGATGGTAATGAAGCAAACGCTTGACATGTTTCCGGGAAATAATGTTAGAACTCATAGGATGGTCCCAAAGTCGGCAGATCTTCTGACCAATAAGCTATGATGCAAATTGAAAAACAGGTCAAGAAGGATTTTTCGGGCTGTGAAAGTACAACACAATGATGGCCAAAGTCATAGAAGGAACGCCACCAAGAGTGAACCCTAATGCTGTCTGCGGACTTTGGATGGTTGTGATGTAGGTTCAGTAATTGTAACAAATGGGTATTCTGTGGGGATGTTGATAGTGGGGGAGGCCATGCATTGTGGGGGTGGGGGGTGTATGGAAAATCTCTATATCTTCCACCCAATTTTGCTGTGAACCCTAAACTACTCTAAAGAAAAAAAAGTCAACTATAAAAATAAAAGGATGGAAAAACATATAGAGGAGACTATAGCTCACACTACATTAAGTAAATGTAGTATATCTATTCATAATTTTAAAAATATCATTCCAAAATAACCAGTTAGTCTAAAAGGCCCTTTATGCGTAACGACCTTTGGAAAAAGGCCATTTCCTTCGAGGTATGCTTCTGAATTTTTAGTAAATACTCCCTTAAATGCAACTCTCAGGAAGCAGTGTATACTCTGATGTTGCCAAATTCTTTTTCTGAAATGGAGTCCATCCGCTACTCTTCAAAGCTGGGGTCCTGCATGCCAACTCCGAGCGATGTTTTGATAGGAAACGAAAGGTTATAGGCGGAATTCTCTGCCAACGTCTTGCCAGAAAATTTAATTCCCTGAGAGTATGAGGTTCCCTCCTCCTCCCCCCCCCCCCACACACATACACAAAATCTAATTTAGAGACCAAAATAAATGTTCGGAGACAATCCCCTGAGAGATCCAGCCATGGAAAACATGCTTTGTTTCCTGTTCTCGCCTTTGCTTCAGTAAGCCTGCAAGGGAGCGGGGGTTACAGAGCGATCCGATTAGGTCCAGAAAGGCAGATGACACCCCTTTGTGGGAGGATCGTGCCAGAGCGGCAAGTGCTCAGGTATGTGAACGGCACGCAGGGTCAGGAGTTCACAGAGTCGAGGCTCTGAAGACCTTGCAGTGGAATTTCGTATTTTCATAATATTTTTAAATCCAAGAGCTACTATTCCCCCACAAAAACAAGGAGTGCCTATATAAGCTTTCCCTCATGCTTCTCGTTCTTCCTTCCACCCAGGCATGTTTTCCAGCCCTGGTGGAAAACGCAGTAAGAGGAAATCCAGTTCCAGGACCTTCTGACCTCACCTGCATTTAAATGCCTTATCAGTGAAAGAGCCAAAAGCACATGTTTCCCCTCTGCCTCCCCGGACTCCCAGATGTAAATATTAGAGCGGTTTCCTAAGGGAAGAGAGTGGCTGTGTGTGTGAGGTGGGCTGTGCCAAGGCAGAGCAGAGCCAGAGGCGCGAGGGCCTCCAGGCCCCGAGGACAGCGGCAGAGGGTGGGGATGGATGGGATTTCTTGGAAAGAGCTGAAAAGGGAAACAGTTCAACTGACTGCAGCCCAAATCGAGTTAAGTGCTCCTTTTGCACGAAGAACTTAAAAGAGATTCCAGCCAAGGCTCAGGGAGAACATACAATAGGGTTCAGGATTACCGGAGGAAGCCGCACAATGATGCTGAACTTTAGTTTCTCGTTTTTCTCCGTGTTGTCCAGATCTACGGGAAAGTCAGAGTGGCAAACAAATCGGAAATCTCCACTTAAATATCTGAAATCTCCACTTAAAGACTGGTACTTCAACGGTTCATCCTGATAACGCGTCTCCCAACCTTGAATTAAGCTGAGTCTAACCGTGCTTTGAAAGTGTTCGGTTGTGTCTGTCTGAACAAAAGGGTTGTTTAGAGGACACTGTTTCTCTATATCACGGAACACGGTTCTGTAGCAGGCTGCTAGGCAGAAAACAATGTTATTGACTAACTGAAAACAGAAGGTATCTTGAGGAACGGGAAATACCTCAACATATGTACTAACAAACTCATCTACAAAATACCACGGCTGAAGCGGTTAAGTGAGAGCGATTGTACTCTAGGCCGCATTTAAAGTTCAAAATCATACAAGCACTGTGTTTTCCCTGGATGCTTCTTGCATTTCAAGTCTGGCTTTGCAATGACAGTGTTAATCGGCTGAAAGTAAGCCATTTGGTGACTTAAGAAACACGCCCTCAGAGGCTCCTGTCCTCAAGAGCCCTCGTGTCCAGTGAAGGAGCCGAATAGCTGTGAGTGGACGGAGGAGTCATTTGGGGTCTCCTGAAGGCAAAGACACTTTAAATTAGCCCGAAGGATGTTTCAGGAAATGAACTGCATTCCGAAGGGCCAGCTGCATAATTTATGGTGCCCAATGGGGAAAAAAATAAAAAATGAGGAGCCCCTGGTTCAATATCAAGAATTTCAAGATTTAATGCAGAGCATTAATGTAAACATGGGGCCCTTCCGAGTACTGCTGGGCCCTGGCCACACCCGGGAGCCAGGCCTGAGGGGCTCAGGCAGGAACCAGCGCTCTGGGACACACAGAGCCTCGGGGCCTCTTACCTTGCATGAGCCTTGTGACAGCCGTTTCTGTGAGAAGCAGCACCCCACTATCAATGTAATGCAGCAGGTTATGCAAAGGGAGACAGCGGACGCCGAGGACCATGTGCAGAGTGTGGAAACCTAGGGTGAGAGATGCGGGAGGGCAAAACGGTCAGCAGCCAGCATCTCAGACAGAATGAAAACAACGGTGTTCACAAAACACTTAGCTCAGTGCTTGGCACCTAGAGTCCACTAAATGCTGCTTGAAGACAAGGCTACACATTATCAAGACTAAGCTTTGTGCTGGGCATATATTTTCCCAACAAGTCTGTAATACTACTCCTAAGCAAAAAAAAAAAAAAAAGGAAAAGTGTGCAAGATTACTCGATGGGAAATGGTTTTACAGTTTATCAGTTGGCAATGCTGCGGTAAGATAGCACAAGAGAACAGTTAACAGAAGGCCTTCAGACTCCACATGCCCAGCTAAAGGCTGATGGATAGGGAGCATTTTGCTAAAGAGGAAAAGAATTTGACCCAGAAGGAGCCAGCTTATATGCTTGATCTCCAGGTATGCTTTTGGGCTCTACTTGGGCTAAATTATTTATTATAAAAGAAGAATTAAAACAATATGGTCAGATGCCGAGAATCAATTCCAGCATGTGATAATTACAATAGTTTTTCCAAAAGGTTGGTCAAGCTTGGGGAGCTCAACATAGCTGAGTCACAAGTAGTTTACCTGTTGGGAAGGGCTAAATAAAGGGCACTTCCCTCAAACCTGAATAGGATTGTTAACTGCCAGGCAGCTCAGGGCATTGTATTGCCTCCTGTTGGCCAAACACCTGAACAGCTGTAGTCTATTCCCTAAACTGACAATCTCTGTAAACCCTTTGATATCATACATACCCTTTGAAGTGTATATTCCCACCTTGCCTTGGGACAAATCGTACTAATAAAAGCAATGGGTCCTGAGACAAGGGGAGCCTTCTAGCTCCTCTGACATCCAATGCCTTTCTGCCTTTCAAAAATATCTTTCGTCCACAGACTCCTTCTTAATCATCTACGCGCAGCCTTTTTTTCCAGAATGCTGAACCCTTTGTAAGGCTGGGAAAAGAACCCTGGCAGTCAGATAGTAAATCTATAGAATAATTACAAAAAAGAAATCAATATCTACTGTTTAACACGACCAGGTCTATGAAAGAAACACGCAGGGTGCTCTGAGTAAATGTGGCAGGTTGAATGCTAAATGGCAGGAAGGAATTTAATATTTAGTAGACTTGGGGGAGGCACTGAAAGTTTTTAAGCAGCATGGCAAGAGGATTGAGCTTTACTTTTGAAATATTAAAATGGCAAGAAGGAGGTAGGATAATAATTTGCTACAAGGGGTATGAAGACCTGTATGGAGGCAATTGCATGAACCTGGGCAGGAGGTAATGAGGACAAAGAAGGGAGAGGCTTGGAAACTGATTGGAAGAGAGCAGCAAATAACAAAGAATCCTCGCCTTGTCCTGGGAGCTGACATGACCACAAAGAAATGATACCCAAGGAGCAGGGACTTGGATTCAGAGAAACCATGGAGTCCTCTCTCTCTCTCTCTCTCTCTCTCTCTCTCTCTCTCTCTCTCTTTCTCTCTCACTCACTTTTTTTTCTCTCTCTCTCTCTCTCATGATTCTCTTAGCACATGAATCATGAGCAGTAAGGAACTCAAGTCCCAAGTCCTGGCAAGATCGAGGGTCAGATAAAATGCAGGCTCTGCCCACAAACAGATGTTACTGGGCTAGCAACGGATGAGTCCATAGCTCCCCTGAATCCAAAAGAGAAAATCATAACTTTACTAGCTAATTAACAACACGAGATTCTTCTAATCAGTTTGGACATTCTTCCCAAGATTAAAAAAAAAGTTAAGGAATTATTTCTGAATAAAAGTTTATAAGTTCTATAGGTTTTCTGGACTTAAAATTGCTCTCAGCCCTGTGTCCATGTCCTAAATATCCCTGATGACCCTTCATCCTCTATCCCTAGGGCACAGGCCCAAGTTCAATAGTCCATTCTTGGCCTCCTCTTTGCATGTCAGCTCTGGCGACAAGAAAAACTGGTTCAAAATAGGCATTGGTTCCAAAAAAGAGCTTTTCCAGCCAATTCTTGTCCTCATCCTCCAGGGGTCCTGGCCTCCTCTGGCCAGCAAGGGGAACAAACATAGGTCCCCTTTACACTGCAAATGCGCCAGCTCTAAACCATGACTTCCTTTTTGAGGACCTCATTCTTTTTCCTCTTTAACCAATTCAGGTTACATGTTTCTGACACATAAAACTCTGTTTCTTCTACTCTAGGAGGCCTGGAAAGCATGCACACTGACACATGTAAATGAAAAAATACCCTGTATTTACATACATGTCTGTACACACACATGATTCAGTGTCACTTCACTTCCATTTCTATGTCACATGAGGGAAACAAACATTTAAGAGAAAAAAAGGATATGCCTAACTGATGTGGCTCAGTGGCTGAGCATCGACCTATTAACCAGGAGGTCATAGTTCAATTCCCAATCTGGGCACATGCCCAGGTTGTGGGCTCAATCCCCAGTGTGGGGCATGCAGGAGGCAGCCCATCAATGATTCTCTCCCATCATTAATGTTTCTATCTCTCCTTCTCCCTTTCTGTCTGAAATCAATAAAAAATATATATATTTTTTTTAAAGATAGAAGGATAGAAACTGCTCTTCCTTACTTGACCATGGACACAAGCTGTTAAGTCTACTCAAAATAATTCTCAGTCACTACGGATAACATTTTCCTGTTTTCCCTCCTTATCCATCCCTGTGAAAGAATGCAATGTTCTGCAGAAAGTGGATTTTTACAATCTCCCAGGAATAATATTGCCCCCAGGAAATCAAGTTCGTTTATTTACAAAAGGAGCTTGAATACAAGGGCAAACAAATATAAAAGTGTCCATTCATCCCTCTACCAAGTCTTTTGTGTTAATCATAATAATTAAGAATTTAATCAGGAAGCCATGAAATCCCTTCACTCTTTCTAGAGGGCTCCTCACAATTTATATGCCATTAGAATAATTTAAAACCATCCCTTCTCCTCATACAAGGCCATTTTCAGATTCCTACAAACTCAAAAGAAACCCACTTAGTACCTCCACTACATGCAGACCTAATAAGATAAGGTGTATGAATAGAGAAAGCATAAAGAATTCCATACCATATCAATATATCAGAAGAAGAAGTTCAGACATGCTATAGGGATTTTCTGGGCCGATAAGTAGCCAAAGTTTGAGCATCAACTAATTCAACTGGAATATAAAATTCAAAAGGTAGCAACAGAACAGTCATTAAAAGCCCAGGATTTGGAGCCAAATTGCCTGAGTTTCAATACTAGCTCTGTTGCCTAATAGCTGTGTGACTTCAGCAAGTTACTCCTAAATTTTCTGTGCCTCAACATTACCATCTTTAAATGGGAATAATATTAAGTGAAACCATACAAAAGTGCCATTTGTGTTGGTCCAATATTTAATGTGGTTCAAGTTAAGCTCCTACTACTCAAGATTATTATGAAAATTGAATGTGCTAACTTATGTAAAATACTTGGAACAAAGTACTATAGGCCCTATACACATGTTGGCTTAAGATGAATGAATAAAGGAATTAATTAATGATGGGTGAATGGATAGCTGTATATGAATAAATTAAACTGGCTGACATATTATCAATAAACCAACAAACAACAAGTGTTGGCAAGAATGTGGAGAAAAGGAAACCCTTGTGCACTGTTGGTGGGATTATAAATTTGTACAGTCACTGTGGAAACCAGTATGGAGGTTCCTCAAAAAATTTAAAAACAGATCTAACATATGACCCAGAAATTCCACTTCTGAGTATTTATTTGAAGAAACCCAAAACACTAATTTGAAAAGACATATGTGCCCCCATGTTCATTGCAGCATTATTTACAATATCCATGATAGAGAAGCAGCCTAAGTGTCCATAGATAGAGGAATGGATAAAAAAGATAATAGGAATGGATAAAGAAGATGTGGTCCATATAAACAATGGAATATGACTCGGCCATAAAAATGAATGAATTTTTGCCATTTGCAGCAACATGGCTAGAACTAGTATGTATTATGCTAAGTAAAATTAGGCAGAGAAAGACAAATGATTTCACTTATATGTGGAATCTGAAAAACAAAATAAGAAAACAAACAAAAGAGAAATAAGCTCACGGATAGAGAGAGCAAACTGATGGCTGCCAGATGGGAGGGGGGTCAATGGGACAGGTGAAAAGGGTTAAGGGATTAAGAAATATAAATTTCTAGTTATTAAAAAAATAGCCATGGGAATGCAAAGTACAGCTTCCAAGCACATAAGAATCAGTTCAATTTTTGACACCCAGCCAGTCCCACTTCCTTCTGTGTTAACTTTCTTGATCAGATAAACTAGGCTACGGACATCAGAGAAAGATCTCTCTGAATCAGCTCCACTGGTTCAAAGTATCCTAGTAAGTTACATGGGGACTCAACAAGGCTCCCTAACGTAAGTGACAAACCACAGCATGGTTTAATAATTGGGGGAGATCTGGTGAGCAGAGACCAACCTCAGGCCCATCTCTCACAGTGACACCAGACACACAATTTCTCAGACACAGCAGGTCTCATCCTTGCACTCCTAATGTGCCCTCATCAAGGGAACATGTGAAGAAGAAAGAACAAAAATCTATTATAACAAAGGATAAAAGAGCCAAGACTTACCAGGAGGCAGAGGTAAAAACAAACTGTTAGTAGCTTCCAAAATCCTGGTCATGATGTGGAAGACTGCAGATTCAGCAGCACTAGCCCGCCTATTGCTGGGGGAAAGACCAAAGTAGCATGTCAGCCAAAAAGCTCATCTCTGAAACTCCATTTGTCTAAGCAGCAGCTATGAGTACCTAGGCAGATGGAATCCATACAAATCAGGAAAGGCTACCCCCATAGAAAGTTTCAAAAAGATGATGGTGACCACCAGGCTAATGCCTAGAATCTAGCCAGAGAATTGGCACATAATTAATTATGCTAACTTCAATTCCCCTTCTTGGTAGTACTTAACTTATGTGCCCCCTCACCCCCACCCCATCAACCATATGCCAGGAAAGAGGATGAGTGAAATAACAGGGGCATAACTTTAAACACTGAGCACAGAACGAAGATAGATGGTATCAGGACTGGTGAGGACTGCTTTCAACTGGTGAGTTCCAAAAAGGATTTGCTGAAACAGGCAGCAATCAGAGTTGGGCTCTTTGCACACCATGACAAAAGAACGAGAAATACTTGCGTACAAGTGGAGAACCCAGGGATGAAGATTATGTTTCCTCCAACTGGTTTCCAGTATTTGGCAAATGAGGTCCAGCTGGAGGGGAAAGACCATCTGTCAACCTCAGCTCATCCCACCCACGCCCAGGGGCCCCACAGCTCTGACAGGCACGTTCGGGGCAGCTGGCGCTCCGGCTGTTCCCACACACACAACCAGCCTTTCTGAGGTCAGCTCTGAGGCACTGGAATCCCAAATGGAAAGACTGAAAATGCACCCCAGAGTCCAACAGAGCACCCTCTGTCTGTGCGGGCCGTGCCCCAGCTGAGCTTCCCCAGCCTGGCCAACAGGCCTTCAATTACAGGCCCTGGTCCATCAGTGAAGGTCAATTAAAGGCCCGGGTCCATCAGTGAAGGTCAAGTGCAGCTGGGTCTGCTCTAGGTCTACTTTGTGGCAACAGACAACCACTGGCAATGAGGAGAAAGGTGATACTGAATAGCATGGGCTGAGGAGTAAGACTGGTTTCAAGTCCCCAGGTTCTAACATTTTACTAGTGTGTCAATACTACCGTGTTTCCCCAAAAATAAGACATCCTCCAAAAATAAGACCTAGCGCAACTTTGGGAGAAAAAATTAAAAATGGATATAAGACACTGTCTTATTTTCGGGGAAACAAGGTACTATAGCTTCCACTAAGCAGTTATCAGCCATGAATCCAAGCATAGCAGGTGTGGGCAAAGGATAGGGTCTCCCTACAGGCACAGGCACCATTTATTCTCAATGATATAAATTCTCAGTTTCTCTTGGGCTGAAATCAGGTAAGATAATGCGTGAGTAATATATCCAGGTTCGGCAGAAACTTCTGGAATTTGTTTTAGAAAGGCTATTGAGCCACCCTCCTGAGAGGGGCCTGGGAGATGTGGCTGTTGGCCACTAGGCTGGGGCAGGCAGATTTGGCTTCAATCAAGAACTGCTGAGGCGGGAAGTCAGGGGCACTGAGTTTTCTGAGGCTACGTCTGCACCATTTCGGGTCCGATGGCATTCTAGGAGTGGTTCACACAAACTAGTGTTAGAACTTTTATGAGGTTAACTATGGGGAAGAATGATTTAAACAAAAACTCTTAATACTTTGGGAAGTGAAATCTAAAGTCCACAGTAGTAAAGGTGATGGGCAGATGTGTTAAATAGTTGAATGGTATTAGTTAAAAGACTAAGAAAGAAAGTTAATATCAACATGGGGAAGATCATTAACACATCGACAAAAGTCAGCCTCTCAGTATAGTTCCACTTCAAGGGTGAGTTATTTAAGGAAGTTTCAATGCTCTGATTATAAATATCAGTATATGAGAATACCAACCTTTCCTAACATATTAAAAACTATTAAATTCAAAGATACTCTTTTTAAAACAGACACTAATTATTACAAAAAAAAAAAAAGGAAGAAACTTTAAAAATAAAACATGGAATTAAATGAGGGTCCTAGCTAATAAATTTAGTCTTCCAGAGTTCAATGCAAAAGTACATATTTGCACACAGGCTCATTTGCATAATGGTCTAACCCAAACTTTGGAAAATGGAGTGTTCTTTCTTTTTCCATGTACTATAAAATTTTTTCTGGCATTTTATTTCTAGGTTCTAAACAGGTTCAGGCTTCAACTCCATATGCTTTATAAAAGATTCCAATACAGTTTTAGAATTCAATCTTACAACATCACTTCTATTTACACATGAACTGGCATTCATTTGGATCACACAGTTTCAGAAAGTGGCTATCTGGTAGATGAGCTGCCAATCTCATCAACAGATTCGAAGGTGGTAGTATTTCTACAACTAACTGGAATCTGGCCTAATTGGGCTGTTGGAGTTAATTAAAAATTGAACTTCAAGTTCTCTCATGTTTGCCTAAACCTCCATGCACAGAAATCATTACCTATTGTTTAATAAAAGCCAAGATGAGATATGAACATAATGCCAAGATGAGATATGAATTCATCACCGGTTTAGGCTTTCTGAGCATACAATCACTATTTGAAGGGCGTGCAATAAACCAAGTTCTCTTTGTTTTGAGGTTCTTTTTCCCCTTTCCTCAATCTATAACACCAAATATACTGGTTTGCAAATGGGAGACCTCCAAAAAAAGCTAATTTGTAAATCATACTAAGAATTATATACCTGGGCTTTGAGGGATGGAAAAACAGAAAGCAAAACCAACCATTTTTGAACTGTAGTCCAGAACCATCTGTTCAATTTTCTTCTTGTCCACACCCTGTAGGTGTCTCAAAAGATGGTCTTTTAATTCAGACACCATCTGAAAACAGGATATAAATTAGATAAATCACAACCCACCCGCTCACACGGGCAACTGGTTTGAGTTAGATCCATTTATCAACATTCCTTATCAATATGAAAATATTGGGTCTGAAGATCCCACCAGCAGAAATTCAAAATTCCCTGATGAGCATAAATCCAGGGCACCAAAGAGGAACTATTTCTGATTCACCCAAAGCCCAGGGAGCGGCTGAGAGTCAAGCTCCAGGCCCTGGTGAGAATTCTCAAACAGAAGTTGTTTACCATGTTATTTTGTCAGACTAAATTCCTAGAAATGGAATTTATTGGGTCACACACTTAAAGTTTGTGGTGAAATCACTAAAATGCCTTCCATTGCGGTTACACTAATTCTCAACTGCACTGGATGAGGCTGTCCAACTCCCTGTACCCTGAGCTTTGCTGGCATGAATTTTAAATTGTTGTTAATTTGATAGGCAATAAAAACCAAGCAAGCAAAAACACTTATTCTATTTGTCATTTGAATATAGCAATCGTAAACAATTCTTTTTCTTCCCTTCCGATGACTTGAGATTTTTGGCCTAAATTTATTTTGGGAAAAATTGTCACAGCTTTTATTTATTTCCCTTCTCATGTGTTGCTCTTTTATTTTAATTATATTTTTATTGATTTCAGAGAATATGGGAGAGAAAGAAAAGACATCAATGATGAGAGAGAATCATTGATTGACTGCCTCCTGCATGCCCACTCTGGGAATCAAGCCTACAACCCAGGCATGTGCCCTGACCGTGACCTCCTGATTCATAGGTCTTCATTCAACCACTGAGCTATGCTGGCTGGGCTGATGTATTGTTCTTGTATTGACCTATAAACTTTATCTATACACCAAATGTTAATCGTTTATCACAAACATTTTTTCCAAATTTATCGTTTGCCTTTTGTTTTTCTGTTTAAATTTCCAATCTATCTTTTCCTATATGTTTATATTCAATAACACACTAAAGGGCCTTCTTTATTTCAAAACGATTCAACTATCCACTTATTCAAATTCTTTCATATAGTTAAATATTGTATATTCTACTCCTTTATCTATCTGATATTTCTATTGGTTTATGGCAGTGATTTTCAATTGATGTGCCATAACAAATTTTAAAACATGTAATACCTGAATTTTCCCTTCGATTGTCAAATAAAAAATGACAACAGCCAACACAATAGCCTCCAGTGTGAATGAATCAAAATGATACTATTTTTTTTTTTTTGCAGAATTTAGTAATTAGTAATTAGTTTATGTGTGCCCTGAGATGAAAAAGGTTGAAAATTGCTGTTTTATGGTATAAAGTGGTGGTTTGGGGGATAGGATGAATCTAACTTAATTTTCTTTTACAAATTGACTAATTTTTAAAAAATTATTTATTTCCACATTGACTTTTATACATATCATACACTAAAGATTCTAATCACATATAATACTAAAGATTCTAATTAAACTAGAGTCTACTGACTATTTTGTACAAGCACCATATTGTTGCTGTTCATGTAGACTACAGTCAGATATCTGTAATGACAGTTGTACACCTCTTTACTGTGTTGACTGAGTCATTTAGTCACTGGCAGGGAAATTTTGTTGGCTTTTTGCTTTTATGTTATTAATCTAGATGCTAATAAGTATTAACCTAGAACTAGTAAATGGGATATTGTTTTTCATTATTATTTCTAACAAGTTAATCCTGATTTTTTAAAAATAAGATAAAATAAGTATAGAAACACCAGCCTACTAACTTGTTCCTTATTTTTCATTTTCCCAGTTGTTTATTTTGTTTGTTTGTAGTATTAGACAGTTTTAGCATCTTCTTTTACTTTTGTTTCTTATTGCATTGGCTAGAACCTCCAGAACCATGTAAAATTTTAGTAAAAATTACAATGATACTTAATTCTGATTTTAATAGAAATGCCCCAACACTCCATTAAGAAGGATATTGACTATTAGTATTAGATTATTCATTGTCAGTTTTGGCTTTAAAATTATGCTGGCTTTTTAAAGTGATTAAGATGTTTCCCATCCCATCTTTTTTTAAAAATAATTTACATGCCATGAGAATTACCTGATCCTCAAAAGTTTGAAAGAACAAGCTGATAAAAATAACTTTGCAGCCTGTTAAGAGATAATCTTTGGCATGTTTTTCTAATTATTTTACAGTTATTGTGCTTTCAGTTCTTCTATTTCTTCTTAGTTCAGGTTTGGTCATTTTATTTGCCAAGGATTCTTTGTTTAACTAGAATTTTGAAGTGTATGAATATGTATTTCATAGGTTTTAACTTGCCATATCTAGAAGTAGATTATCCCATTCCTAAGTTTACACAGTATTAAAAACATTTTATTAGACTTCCCTGATGTCTCTAATCAGTCTTTTAAGATTTTGGAGTTATTTACCAATTCTGTCTTTAATTAATTTATTTTATGTTATATTTGTTTTGTCTTCCTAGTAGTAGGATTTCTTGAGAAAGAATACTTTATTCTGTTTTATGTTAAACCAGAAATACAAATGCCACAGATATATTTTCTTCCTCATTTTAAAAACTCTTAATGTACATTTCCTTATGATGTTTTATAATTATATATTTATTGGGGTAATTGACTAATGTTTGTCTCCCCTAGTAGACTATAATTCCAAGAGGACAGAAATCATATATGTGTTCCTTACCACTGAACACACAGGGCGTACAGTGGCTGGACACAATTCTGTGTTGAAAGAATGAAAAACAAGATCAGGATGAAAAGTATAATCTAGTGCTTTCCTCCCTTCTTAAAACCCATGGCTTGCTGCCACCTCAGGGTCCCACAGACCACTCACCAGCCCCACAAGCAGCCTCTGGTGGCTGTCTTCCTCCTGCAAGAGGGGTGTCACTCTTGGCTCTGAAATGAAACAGAGCAATTGTCAAGCAGGAAACGGGCTGGAAAAAAATGGAATCCGCCTGGGTTTCCCCTCTCTTAGTAATTGGGAAAACATGACAGTTCCCTGATAAAATAAAAAATTTTCACTAGGTTAGTGTGACCTGCTCCTGCAAGCTGAACTTCTCACTCAGGTGACTGCAAGAGACCTCTGAGCAGCAGGTTCAGGTCGAGAAGGTTCAGGGAGAGAACAAAGGAAGGGAGGAAGGAAGGAAGGAAGAAGGAACACATCTCCCAACAGCAAAGGGCTCTGGCTTTGATTTCTCTTCAACACGAACCCTCACCATTGCCTAAGAACTTCTGCTTCATGGGAGACAGAGTAACCTCTCTAAACTCTAAGGGAGACACAAACACAGGGACAAGGACTTGTTGGAAGGATCACATGACTCCCTTCTTGCTGGCCTCCCATAGATCAGTGTCTTCGGGACCAATTACTGTGGCAATAATACTAATGGGTATAAGTTATCAGACTGAAAGCAACTAGATCAAGATGGAAAAGTGATATGGGAAGGTCAAATCCAATGGCACATTCTCCACCGTGACTTACACTTCACCAGCAAGGCTGGGAGGGGGAGCAGGCGAGCAGTCTCATTGGAAGATCTGCCCTAACACTCCTTTGAGAGCACCTGGGCACCTGGCACCTCTGCCCTGCTCTTCCTGTCCCAGAGGCACAGGGCCTACCCGTCAGGAGGACTGAGGCTGCAGGTCCCTGGGCTGAGGACTCCCTGTGGGAGGCTTAAACGCCTTTTGACACCTCAGGAGAAATCCTACATGGATCCCACGTGACCTTCATGATTAAGATGAAACAGTGCAGGACTTGAGCCCAGCTGCCCTGGACTTCACACGAGTGTTCCCTTTCTGGCAGTGATGTCATCCTTCCTAGGAAACTTGCACACGCAAAGCAGCAAGAGGAAGGGGCAAGTTCCCCAAAAGATGTCAAGAGATGATGACTCGTCACAGGATGTGAGCAGGCATGAAGGACAGAAGCAGAAGGGGTTCCTCCAAGGGGGGTGGAAGGGCGGAGCACAATGGAAACAGACCACAGCAACATTTCCCTTATTGCAACCCCTTGAATCCCACACGTTCACACCCCGTGCACTGGCAGGACTCTGCCAACAGCTGCTGCCAGGTGCTGGTGATGCAACCCCTGGCTTCCCATGGATGGTCTGGTGATAGGCAGAGAGAGGCTGGGCCCTGGGGCTGTGCAGTGGTCCCGGGCTCCGGCGGCCTGGGCTGGCTGACAAGTTCACCGTCACGGTGCATGAGGGTGGAGTCCACAGCTGCGGCTGTGCAGCAATACACTGTATAAAATAATTTCCGTTGGGTCACCCAACATATACCTTACATCCAAGCCCATAAACAGAAGTGAGATATAAAAACAACTTTTTAAATAAAGACCGACTTGTATGAACCCTGAGAGTTCTACTGACAAGACCACAAAAGGGCTTATACCTGGATATACTCAGCATTCTCCTCCCCCAGTTTTCCCAGCTAAATCCCCTTGGATGTCAAGACTTTCCCCAACCATCCCTACTCCTGCCCTCCCCCTTCCCCCCTAGTCCCTCACGCCTGCACCCTGAGGTTACACAGCACCTGTCACCTGGTTTAGAAATTATGTGTTAGCTTTTCTTCCTCATACACAAATGATATACCAGCCACCCCAGGTATCCCACATGTGCCAAGAGCTGTAGCATTTACTCTCCTTTTCTCCTCACCCTGGCTCTGAGGAAGACGACACAAAATGGTTAAATGGTTTGCCTAAAAGGACACGGTTAGCGTGAGGCCCAGCTGGAGTTTAAGCCCAGCCCTGTCCGGCTCCACGCCCAGGATCTCCCCCCACATCCACTGGACTTAGCGAGGGGCTCCTCAACTTTGCGCCCCTCTGACCTCACCCAGTGAGTGCCCAAGTGTCAACCAAAATGAAAGCAGCACACATGTCAAAGCCAGACAGCTGGAGGGAGTGGCACTCCGAGCCCAGGGAATTTCCAAAGTGCATCCTGTGGGGACAGCCAGCGGGCATGTTAACTAGATCAACTCCGTGCGAGAAAATAATGAAAACCAGAGGCCAGCACCCAGGGGCCGTCCAGCAAAAGCACACTCAGCAGCTGCCCCTGAAGGTCCCGGTGCCAAGACAGACATGGATGGAGCTCGGACAGGAAGATGTTAAAGGTGCTGCCTCTGCACTGTTGGAAGTGGGTTTCTTGCCAACCCCCAGGGGAAGGACTGAGGGTGTTACAAACAAAACACTGACTGGAATCCAAAGGCTTGATTACAGGTCTTTTCTTACCCGAATTCTTTGCTTCTAGGTTAGAAATCACCCTACAAAGAAATTAGCCAATGTTATTCACACAGGAAACATTCTCTTTTTAAAAAAATGAAAGCCACAATACCATACAATGATATCCTCCTTTAACAACCCCTGCAGAAACTGTTCCCAGGCTGGTGAAAACCTCAAAAACTTTAATCAACTTGGCAAAAGCCACATTAGGCCTTTATAAAACCCAAAGCCCTTTAGTGCAAACAATCACAATAATTTAGAACAATTGCAGCTCTGGGTTGTTGGAAATAATGGGAACAGAAAATAGAACAGAGGTTGGAATGGGGCCTGTACTTGTAGCATTCTGAGATGACTCACTATCCAGAAAGTCTGCTTTCAAAATAAGAGCAAGCTCGCAGGCCAACATCGCTTTTTAAATCAGCCTACTGTCTGTACCCCCCTAAAGTGCTCAATCAATAAGAGCCTTCTTTACCACTTCCTTATAACCATCCATCCATAGGGCACAAACCCGTAAGGCTTAACAGATAAACTTTTCCGCCAGAAACTCTGGCATCAAATTCCAGAATAGGCCCCACTGGCTGCATTCAGTAAGCTGACACAAAGTAAGCTACTTCCAAAAAAAGTAGCCAAAAAATAATGCAAATGATAACCGTCTTACCAATACAAAGAACCCCCAGTTTCACTTACTTTACTGCATTATCAAGAATATTCCTCACATATGCCTTGGACCTTCTTTTTCCTGTTTTCTAGGAGTGAGAATATGTCAGAGGTATAAAAGCTGAAGGTGTTATGGGTGACATTTTTCACATCAAGGACATAATGTGATATAATTAAGAGTTTTGAGAAAAAGAAATATAACTTACAGGTAAACAGGTAAAATACCTAGATTATTAAAACTTTGTTCCTCTAAAACTATTATAAATTTACTAGAGGCCCAGTGCACGGATTTGTGCACCAGTGGGATCCCTCAGCCTGGCCTGTGGGTATCAGGCTTAAACCAGCTTTCCAACATCCCCTGAGGGGTTCCAGATGCAAGAGGGCAGTTCTCAGGTGACACACCCCAGAATCGGGCTCCCTCCTCTCTGGTTCCAGGTGCATCACCCGAGAACTGCAGCTGCCAAGTCACCACAGCTGCCAAGTCACTGCAGCTTGGCAGCTCCTAGGTTGAACATCTGCCCCCTGGTGGTCAGTGCACATCATAGTTACCGGTCGGACAGTCAGGCTGTGGCTCAGCCTTTTATATATACAGATAGGACATTGCAAGTCAACTATACATGATATACAATAACACTACAGCTATATACAACATTCCTCTGGTTCTCTTCACCTGCAATCTCCCCAATGTTTAAATCTTACGTAAATGACTATACGTGGTACACTATCCAAATCAGACACTGATACTGGTATAGTGCGTGTACAGTGCTTCATTTTACCACAGGCGTAGATTCATGGACCACCACAGTCAAGAGTCAGAAGCACCTCTGACTGCCTATTGGGAGACTGGTAGCAACAACATAAAAGCGCCCAGCAACTAGGGAGGTGCTGCAAATGGAAGGCAGCCTTATGACTCGTGAGCATCACCCAGATCTAACACGCATGCTTTTGCTTCTTGCTTTGTTCTCATGAACCCACACGAACCTCTTCTGAGATCAGGCTGTGCCATTCTCTCCTGACCACGCTGTTGTTATAGTGTAAGAGTGGCTTGGAGTACTTAACATATTCCAGGTTGGCGTTCAGTTTTTCCCAGTAGTTCTTAGCGCTATGCACCTGTAGGGGACAAAAACATCCGTGAGCTTGAGCAGTGGGCCCTGTTGGCCAAACCACCCAGAAGGGCCACACAAGCCTGCTGCAAACTTGGGATCCCTAACTTCCTCAGCTCATATGGGGCAGCATTTCCGAGTGAACACTTCCCACTAAGGATGGCATCTCATCCCAATAGGGATTCTAAAGTAGAGAGGTTTGAAGAGTCGTCACTTCCTTTCCTACCCCCTTGTACACCGAGAGCCGCTGCTCGCTTCCCCAAACTGATATGACTGCCCTGGGTTAAGGCTAAGAGGGTCAGCCTACGTTACACACTCAGTGTTGTACCAACAATGCCATGTGCAGCCAAAGGATGTTCGTGAGATTTGGAGCACACGGAATAGGCTCACTTTCCCACCAAACTTATTCACGACCAAAGAATCCACTTTTCAAAATGTAGGAATCAGGGGACCCTTTCCCCCCCGCCCCATGTGGAAGTCCGTGCTGTGGGATTCTTTCCCTCTCCCCAGGGAGGCGTCTGTACTTGTTCTTCAATAAATTTCCACCTTTTTTATATTAAAAAACAAACAAATAAAAAAACCTAAGACGTAGGAATCAGAAAGGCAAAGTGAACTATTTTCGCATCCAGTTGTCAAATACTCCAGAACAATATAGTTGGCATCCTACCTAGTCTTTGACTTATTGATACAATTGTACTACCCTGAAGCAAGAATGTACCCATTAGGTTCATTTTTAAATTAAATGAAATATTAAGCCTCTTCAATGTTGAAGGCTATAGTGATAAAAAAAAAATTTTAATCAATGAAGATAAATTTATGATACACATGTTCGTGCCAACATGTATATCATATAAAAATATGCAGTTATAAAAGATTTGAATGGGGCCAAGATTGCAGTGTGAGGCCATAAAACGAAGTGAGCTAATGCTTACTGTGGTAACAGACTTGGCTGTGTTGCAAGAGAAAAAATAAAATATGCCTCAGCCAAGAAACATGCCACCCTATCCGGTTTGGCTCAGTGGCTAGAGCACTGGCTGGGATTGAGGGTCTTGGGTTTAATTCCAATCAAGGGCACATGCCCAGGCTGCGGGCTCAATGCCCATTAAGGGGTGTGCATGAGGCAGCTGATCAATGATTCTCTCTCATCATTGATGTTTCTCTCTCTCTCTCTCTCCCTCTCCCTTCCTCTCTAAAATCAAAAATATATTTAAGAAAAAAATAGAAAAGGAACCAAGAGAAGAGAAAAGAAAAGAAGAGAAACATGCCTTTATGTTAAACAAGAGCACATTATCCAAATTCTTACTGAACAGACGGTCATAATTGGTTCAAAATGGGTTTTGGAATATCTGTGAAGTGAGTTATATAATAACTGCCATTTTAGGAGCCTGAAAGCCTCGTCCAGCCAACAATCCTTCTCACAAAGACAGAAAACTATTTCCAAGACAGTGTCATTTCTAAGGGAAATCATAACACTGGAGTGAGGTCATACTCTCCACTTGATCTATCTCGTTCACCTTTTTTTTCGTTTTCCGTTTATTTATACCGAATGTATCTTTATTCATCCTTTGGACTGCCTTGTACTGAAAAATAATAATAATGAAAGTAAATCCTACTAATATTAGGTCCCTGATGGTTAAATCACTGAAACTTTCTTGCTATTTCACCTCTGAGCCCAGGCACACTGCAGCCAAAAGCCAGAAACTATTGGTGTTGTGGTGACATCTAGTGGTCAATTAAGTTATCAGTTTTGCCTGCACTGGACAGGAGAGCCACCATGTGGCAGGTATGTGAGGGGAGGAATGTGGGTGTCCTACCCATCATAAGGCCTCTTCCCCTCAGACCAAATGCCACCTTCCCATCAGAAGATCCCACCTCCCATACCCACACTGTCGATCCTAAGAAAATATCTCTCCCAAACTGCCTTCCTCCTCCTCACTCTCCCATTTTAAAAATCCCTTTTCTCGGCTGAGAAAAAAAAAAAAACAGATAAAGCAAGTCTATGGACAGGCTTCACAGGGGCTCATGAACCCACTGATAGTATATAAAATGGAGTGTGTGTTTGTATGAGTGCTTTTCTGGGAAGGTCTATAGTTTGCACCAGATTTTCAAAGGAATCCATGGCCTAAAATAAACCACGGAGGTTGAACGAAAAGAATCTATGTTTAAAACAATGACAGCAGCTTACATTTCAATAAGAAACACTGTTAGCCAAAAATCACCAAAATATCTATACTAATAAAAGGTAAAATGCTAATTAGACCAGATGTCTTCCAGACATCCTTCTGGATGTCCTTCCAGACAAAGCCACGGTGGCAGGGGCCAAGGCAGAAGCAGTTAGGGGTGATCAGGCCAGCAGGAGAGAGCAGTTCGGGGCAATAAGTCAGGCAGACAGGTGAGCAGTTAGGAGCCATCAGTCCCAGATTGTGAGAGGGATGTCCAGGCTGGGCTGAGGGACCACTCCTCCCCTTCCCTCTCCCTCCCCCCCCCCCACCACCCCATACAAATTTCATGCACCAGGCCTCTAGTTTTAATATAAACTTACAGGTCTTTCAAGGAGGCCACTGGGCTGCATGTTATACTGTAGCTATTGAGGGAGTGCAGAGAAAAGCAATGCGCAGCATTATGTCACTACGTGGTAACTACTGGATAACTGATGCAACTTTTTGAGCTATAAAAACTTATGGAGATCATTGTAGATTGGGAGAAATATTTGGAAGTCTGGTTAATATATGAGACCCAAAGGATGAAAAGAGTAAGTGAAGGATACAAGAGGATGTTCTAAGTGGGGGGGAGGGGGGGGTGTCTCTGAAAAAGTGAGTGAAGACTAAGACACCCCATTGTGGATTCTGGGTTTAGATCGGAGGCAGAGCCTTAGAGAAAGCAGAGAAAACAACCAACAACACTGCATTCTCAGTGGTGAAGACATCTGCCTCTGGAGTTGATTCCAAACATCAGCAGCCACTTGCTACCCACCCCCTGGAGATGTAACTGTCTGGGGCGTGAGCTGAGCCTCCTGAGTTTTGCGGTTTCCCAGGCAATCCTACTGTTCAGCTGGCACTGAGAACACCACTTGAGCAGGTCCAGGTAATCCCAGTCCCAACTCCCAACCTGAAACATTTTCCTCAATCTGCACCCCTGGTTAAAGGTGGAGGAAGGCTGAGATTGTGCGGTTCAGTGACAGGAGACAGCATTAAAGAGGAGGTTAGGGCCAATCTGTGAAGGATCTCAACTGCCAGTGAGTACCAGCATGCTCCTTAATCCAGAGAATCTATGAAGACACGGGGGAGCTGCACAACCACATCCCAACAGCCAGCGGGGAGCACAGACAGCCCCTCCTCTCCGTCAGCAGCACTCCCGGAACTGCTTGTTTACTGAGCACTGGACTCATCAGAAACAACTGAGCAAAGTGGAAGCCCTAGAAGTGCATGCCAGCTACTTCAAAAGGACTCAGAAAACTTTAAAATACACACACAAAGCTTTATAAGAAAGATGCCCATGAATTTAGCTGCTTCTAGGAGACGTGGTGTTAGAAGCCATTAGACACTCTAGGGACCATCCAGAAGCATTTTCCTACTCATGGGGGAGTTTTAAACTTTGATTTTGAAAGAAGTTTCTTCTTGAGAAATAATCTATTTTTGTCTCCTGGGATGGCATGGAATAATTAACAAATGTAGACCATGACAACTATTAACTGAACAAGAGAATGAAAGAGTTACATTCAGGGGCTGTTTCCCATTTATGATTTGGGTTGCCAGTTGATTTTTTTTTTTTTTTCAAACCCTGTGATACAGGCTCATCTGCACATCGCTGTCAGGAGAAAACATCTGCCCTTCATTTCCAAACAGCCCTCTGGCTCTGCTCCCAAGTCTTCTGATTAACCAGCGTCTTCTCACTGGAGAGGACGCCAACTCAGAGAGAACCTTCACTCTGCAGGCAGTGCTCAACCTGCAGGGCTAAAGGTCTGTGCACTCTGGCTCTTCGGCAGATCCCACCTCGGTATCAGCTTTTACTTGCAACCCACAGAAACACAACGGCCCACCACCTCCCGCACAGACAGGATAAAACAGAGACGGCTATGTGTCCATGAAGCTAGCGAAGCACCCCACTAAGCCAAGATGCGCTGGTGACTGGACTCCTGATGTGACAGAGTGAAAGGCTCAGCCTCTCTGGCTGCATCTTGTTCAAGCCTGTGTTGTTGCCATGGCCTCCGACTAACAGCTTCTGCTTGGTGTTGCATATAGACATGCTAATCCTTAGAGCAGTGGTCAGCAAACTCATTAGTCAACAGAGCCAAATATCAACAGCACAACGATTGAAATTTCTTTTGAGAGCCAAATTTTTTTTTTAAGTTAAACTTCTTCTAACACCACTTCTACAAAATAGACTCGCCCAGGCCGTGGTATTTTTGTGGAAGAGCCACACTCAAGGGGCCGAAGAGCGGCATGTGGCTTGAGAGCTGCAATTTGCCGACCACGGCATGAGAGGTATGCCACTTGCACCTTGTTTTACAAAAACAGTCCCTTACCAAAAGAAAAAATGCCTTTCCTGAGGAGATAAGGGAAACTCATACAAAAATAATAATTGCTTATTAAGGATTTGCAGGAACCTCGTGACTGAACTCACATCAACTAGAATGAACAGGCTAAGAACAAAGACGTTTCACCGTCTTCCTCTGATCCCTGCTGGTGCCCAGATGTCTGCCATCCTCAATCACCTCTTGCTCCTCCCTTTCCCCCTCCCTTGATATAAAAGAAGCCTGGATTCTGTACTTTCTCAGGATGGTTCTTTAGGATGCTAGTCTGCCATATTCTCAGCTTGCTGGCTTTCTGAATAAAGTCACCATTTTTTGCCTCAACGCCTTGTCACTCAACTTATTGGCTGCTGTGCAGAGAATGGTACGAGCTTGGACTCAGTTTCACTGAGGCTTCCTGTTAAGGGGATTGCATGTGCAAGTTCTCCTATTTATAAAGGGACTTCCTCCTTTTCCTAATATCTGGTAACAAAAAG